AAGTTAAAAAAATCTTTATATGGGCTGAAACAATCTCCTCAGGCCTGGTTTAGTAAGTTCCACTTAGCAGTTCAATAGATGGGATTCAAACAATGCCAGTTAGATCACATACTATTTGTGAAAAAAGGTGAAGGGAAAATTTCAGCTCTAATTGTGTATGTGGATGACATAGCGATCACAGGAAATTGAGAGGCTGAAATACAGAGACTCAAAAAGTTCTTAGCCACTCAATTTGAGGTGAAAGATCTAGGCCCCTTACGTTATTTCCTTGGAATTGAAGTTGCCCGCTCTCACAAGGGCATCTTTATTGCCCAATGGAAATATGTACTAGATCTACTAGAAGATACAAGCAAACTGGGAGTGAGACCAATTGACTCACCAATTGAACCTAACCATAATCTAGGAGACAGTCAGGGAGAGTTCTTGAAAGATGTGAAGAAGTTTTAGAGACTTGTAGGGACTCTTGTATTTGTCTATGACCAAGCCTGATATTCCTTATGTAGTGGGTGTCCTTAGCCAGTTCATGCACAATCCTAGGACAACTCAACTCACCTTGAAGCTACAGAGAGGATCTTCAGATACCTCAAGAAGTTTCCTGGAGCTGGTTTGCTAGTCCAGAAACATAGACATTTAAATGTGGAGGTATATACTGATGCTGATTGGGAAGTCTACCAGTGGATATTGTGCCTTTGTAGGGGGAAACCTAGTCACATGGAAAAGTAAGAAGCAAAGTGTGGTGGCTAGGTCTAGTGTTGAAGCTACAGAGTTATGTCTCATGAAGTTGCTAAAATCATGTGGATAAGAAATTTGTTAGGAGAACTGGGTTTTACAGTTAGCAACCTATGTCACTCTATTGCAACAATAAGGCTGCTATCAACATTGCAGCTAATCCATTCCTCCATGATAAAACGAAACACATTGAAATGAACAAGCATTTTATTAGAAAAAAACATGTAAATGGAGAAATGTGCACCCCATATGTCAGCTCAGAAGAACAACTTGCAGACATCTTCACTAAAGGTCTTCATCATGTGCGACATAATGATTTGTGTGACAATTTGGGCATGATTGATATCTATGCTCCAACTTGAGGAGGAGTGTTGAAATAATTGATTTTATGTTTGTTAGGGTATGTTTGTCTGATTAAAGCTTTTTTTATTTTAATCTATTATTGTACCATCACTTAGTAGGGGCACAAAGGTCATTTCCCTTCTTATTTTTCCGCCCTATATATTATAATGAAGCTGGCGCCGCCAGCACTATTCCATTGCCTCAATCCTTCTTCTTTCTTCCTTCTCTTCTCCTCTCCTCTTCTCTTCTCTTCTCTTTTGTTGTAATCTCTAATCAGTTTTACTGTCAAGAGTTCCCGCTTTAGTAGATGAGCCTCTTCCCTCATTACTCAGTCTAGTCATCAATAAGAAGATAAGTTATGATTCACCCTACTTTGTTGATTTCCCGGACATAAATATCCCTTTTGCATTGAAGTCAAGGTAAGCATCATTCTTGTACTATACTTTTATCTCCAAGCATGTATCATAAACCCTTCTATAACCATCCACTTTTGCCTAGCATGTTTCTTTTAAGTTTGTCCCTTGGACTATATTAGAATCACATTGAAATACGAAAGACCCATAGTTGTCAAGGCAACGCCTAGGTGGGCGCCTAGGCAACTAGGCGCTTTTCAAAGAACAGCTCGCCCAAACGCCAACTATGTTAAGCACATACTTATATAAATATTTATTAAATAAAAAAATATAAAATATATAATATTTTATTGGTTGTTTTAGTTATTATAATAGAACCTATTGCATGTTATCATGCTTTTGTATTGAGGAAAGTAAAAACAAAGTTAATCTTCGAGGGTTTCACATTGACAATAGAATTGAAGTATCGAACTGAGGAAGATGAGAGAACAACAGCCTCCATCATTCCCACACAGTCCTCTAAAGTTAGTTTTGTTCTCTGTTTCCTGGTTTAAAACAGTGGTTACGCCCCATTTTCTCCTCTTCCTTTTTGTATCTTATCTCCAAGTTTTTTGAATCATTTTATTGGACTAAAACAGGGGCTCCACCCCCTTCTATTGTTCTTAAATTTCCTGCATATTTTCAGCTTTTTTTTCTCATTATTGGTGTCTGAAACAAGGGCGGAACAGGGGCTCCGCCCCTTCTTTTATTCTTCATATTCTTTTATTTTAATATTTTTTTCACCAGCTTTTCTGGGTCTAGAACAGGGGCTCCGCCCCCTTCTTTTGTTCTTAATTTCTTCCATTTTTTCAGCTTTTTTTTGTTCTCATCATTGGTTTCTGAAACGGGCTCCGTCCCTTATTTTCTTCTTCATATTTCTTCTTTTATTTTAATATTTTTTCACCAGATTTTCTGGGTCTCGAACAGGGGCTCCGCCCCCAACTTTTCTTTTTCATTTTCTTCTTTTATTTTAGTATTTGTTCCCTGTGTATTGTTGATCTAAAATAGGGGCTCTGCCCCCTTCAGTTCTTTCAAATCCCAAGCACAAAAGTAAGTGCAGAATACATAAAGCCAAAAAAAAAACTAGTTCAAAAGGGTACAAATCCATCGGCAACCTTAGTTTTAAATTCCATCGCCTAGGCGAGGGCTAGGCGCCTGGGTGCCCCACGGTCGCCTAGCCTCGCCTTGGTGCCTTGAAAACTATGGAAAGAACCTACATTGGATATGGTTGAGTTCTCTAATTAAAAAGAACCAATGAGAAAAAAGTGGGTCTCTAACATAATGTAAAGAATAGCTGAATCCACTAACAAAGATATAAAGCATGATCGGTAGCTAAGGGTTATGCACAAGCATTTGTCAATTACTTGGAGACATTTGCTCCCATTTATGAAGATGAATTATGTGAGGGTTCTTCTTTCCTTAGTAGCTACACACTCATGGCCACTATATCAGTTCAACATCAAGAATTCTTTCGTAAATGGGGATCCTTAAGAGTAAAGAAAGGAAAGAGAAGAAAGGCAGTCCTAAGGAATGAGAGGATTGATTTAAAAGTTGTGAAAAGGTGTTAGATATCAGCAGTAAAGAGAAAAGGAGAGGAGAGAAGAAGAAGTTGGCGGCAATAGGGTTTAGAGAGAAGTCTATCGAATGTTTTCTCCTTCCCTAATCCTTTTCATTAAAACATAATTTACAAAGTTTCGGTATTTACAGAGAGGCCCTTAATTGGGCGACTAACTTAATTAAGCATAACATAAAAAAGTATAAAGATTTGCACGTTAAAGAAATCTTTATATGGCCTTACGTTGTTAAGCAGTCTCCTAGGGCTTGGTTCAAGGTTCAAAGTATTGACCTGTATCGGTACTCTTTTTTTTTTTTTCGAATCTGGTTCAGAGGGGCCAGTCTACCCCCTGAACCACTTGCTGACACGAAACACACCCTGTAGGGGCATATCGGGAAGGCTCCGGTACGATATGTATCAGCTGATACGGGCCGATACATATCGATACTTTGAAATCCTTGGCTTGGTTCAAGCGGTTTGAGGAAGCACTGGTGAAGATTGGTTTCACACAAGTCTACTTTGACCATATACTGTTTTTTAAAACACTCCACCTTAGTTCATATCTGGGAAAGTACTGGGGGGGGGTTGGCCAGGGCAGATCTCCCAGCCCGGACACTATACAAAATTCACTTCTGTATTATTGTTGCTTCTTTATTGAAAAATTTTCTATTTGAGATCCTATTAGCAACACCTAAGGCTATGACCATCTGCATAAAAAGAACAACCATGCTGCGCAAAAAAAGAAGAGAAAAATGTGAAACTTTAGCAGAAACCCTACTAAGTTTCCTTGCATCCAGCACCAGATGGGTATCCATACTTTCAAGATTCCACTTCACAGAAGAATGTTCAGTTCTTCATATATGCATTTTCTTCCAAGCTTCTCAGTAAAATTATTTGCTTCATATTTATCAATTTTAACTTAATTTTTTGAGAATCTAGAATCAAGTAACTCTACAACCTGCAAGAACACTTTTTGGAGAAGGGAAAAACCAAGAGGCCTCAAAGAAGCAGAGCACAAAAAAGCATGAAGAAGGAAGGAAGGAAGGAAAGAGAGAAAGAAAGAAAGAAAGAAAGAAAATAACTCATAACCAGGAAAGAAATTACCTCAGGAACTTTCCCCCAAAACAAATCATACCCACTCCCCAAAAAGACCATCAGCTATCAAATTGGCATTCATCAGAACACATTCTAGTCTGAAAAAGATATTGAGTACATTTACATTAAGAAATAAATGGAAGAACTCAACTCAATCATATACCATGATCCCCTGCTTTCTTCTCTCCACCTACACACACAAAGGAAAACACTACCCTAGATGTGTTGGTACACTCCATGAATACTTGTCCTGATTTGACATACAGATCTATTTACCTTCAAACTAGTTTTATTCTTATTTAGTGAATAATTTTATTACACTGCTTCAACAAACCAATCTAATTCAAGTCCTCAACTCAATTATAAGCTATGCGAGAAGTACAACTTCTATAACTTCAACTAAGTTGCTCCACAAGAAAGCAAAACATCATTTATAGTCTACCAAAGGGAAAAAAAATGCTAATTTAATATGTCAACTAAGAGAAGACATACACGAAGGATTTGACAAATATTTTAACAGTAACATGTTAAGGGCTAAAATATTAATTTGAATATCTATTTGAGCTTATCATTACGAGTAAAAAAGTATCCATCCACTATGTACCAATAGCAATTTAAAGGAAAAATAGAAACTCAAAAATCAAAACTATAGTGTCTCATTGAAACAGTGATCAATGCATGATTGTAAAAAGGAGGGAGATAAAAAAGGGCCATTCCCCATTGTGTAGCCCATGAGCAAAAAAAAATGTTGGGCATGACAATCCAGAGTCTTGAAAGGTGTTGAATTTAGACAAACATAACTTTTGGCACACAATGGCTACTTTCAGATGGGGAGTGAAGGGGGGGAGGCAAATAACAAATGAGAAAACGTAATTAAGAGTACATACCATTTAAAAGAGTGGTTTTCTCCTTGGTGTCCTTGTACTGTCGCAGGCACTGCAGAAAACGACACATATAAGGGAAAACAAGCACCAGTGGGATAGCAATGGAATGACTGCCACACACAGAATCAGCTTCAAACCATGCAATTGTAGCAACCTGCATAAAGGATATTGCTCAAAAAAAAAAAAAAAAAAAAACAGAATACATTCTTACATGCAACAAGGAGTGTATATATGAAAGTCAGATAAACAGTGTAATGTCAAACAGTAAGCAGCAAGTTACTTTAGCTTTCACTAATCCTATAATAACAAATCCAATTGGTAACACAAGAGAAGGATACAATATATGAATATGTTTCTTTTTGTTATATCACAATAACGATGATTATCAACAATTTTATAGGAACAGAAGCAAAAATTATATGTAATATTTTATATATTAGTAGTGGTTACCAAAGAATCACCAAGAGACTGGACGAGAATTGCAGATGGTGTGATAAGAGGTTTAAAGTTGAATTGCAGAAGTTAAGGCTGTCTTGGAAGTGGTAGGTTGAGGTTGATGCAGCATGCTTTCAAATGGAGTTTGAAAATATTACTGTGTTCAGGCAGAGCCCCCTGTCTAATTCCAAAAGTCTGCAGGTGGAAGACAAAGTTGTTCAAATCTTGGGCCTACCATTTCATCTCTGGAAATTAGAAGTTTCTTGTTTCATTGCTTCTCTGTACAAGGCTTAGAAGGATGGTTTCTTTGTGAAAGACCTGCACTCAGCTGCTGTCAATCTAAGAAACGTAAGACCAGAAGGAATCCCCCGGAAGGTTGAGGTGTTTGCTGATGGGACATTTTACTCTGTGTGGTTGGTGACAGCCATTGAATCTTCTTTGTGGCATGAAGGTAGGAGGGAAGAAGATGAGAAGGTTGAAGATTGGGTAGGTGGACTCAAGGGATTGGCCCGTTCAAATGTTGTTGAGACTTTCATGTATAAGGAAAGTCTTGCAGAAGAGAGTTTAAAAGGAAAGAAGCCAAAACCCAGTTTGGAATGAATGGGAGGAAAGGAAGATATAGCATGTGACAGGTCTTATGCCCAGGCTTTGAGGCGGTGACCGGCGTCTTGGTTAGTTGTTGCAGGGGTAAGCAAAAAAAAAACCAGAGTTGAGGCAGCGACCGGCGTCTTCATGGTTGGCGCGATAGAGACAAAGATGATAGGCAACAGAGAGAGAAAGGGGCACAGCCGTACAGGTAAGCTCCGAAGCAAGAGGAGAATTGGCCACTATGTGAGACTTGAGAGGCCATTGGTCGGAGGACGCACCAGAGGAAAAACTAGGAAGACGAAGAGAGTCAACGAGGAAAAAGTGAAGAATCACAAGAGAGACTAAGAGAAAGAAAGCCTACGGCCTATTACGGTTTAGTTTTCCAAGAGGAAAAACTTGAAAAGAGGAAAAATTGAAAAGGTGCCAGGCGGAGACAGACGCACGTGTGTTTGTTTATTGGATATTTGGATTTTAAAAATAACAAATTTACATGGAGAGGTAAGGTACTAAGGTTAAGCTTTTACTTTTTCTTGGACTTGTTTGAAAATTGAAAAGGTGCCAGGCTAACCTGGCACGCCAGACAGTAGGCGGATAGAGTGACAAACACCTTTTCAGTGTGACAGACGCACAGCAGTAAGGTTATTCAATTTTAAAAATATAAATATAAATATAATATATAATATATAATACCCTATATACATTATATATACACCAGTCGGTTCGATTAACCGCCGGTTTTTGTACAAGGTTAACCGAAACCGAACCAAAATTTTTGGTTTTTTAAGAATATCAAACCGAAACCAAACCAACCGGTTCAGTTAATCGATTTTTCGATTCGGTTTTTCGGTTTTTTTTGCTCACCCCTAGGTGTTACCGAATAAGAATGTACACGATCTAAGAGGAGGAACTAGACAAAAGCAGAGCCTAAATAGTCAAATAAGCAGGGCCTCTAATTTGGTAGTGGGTCATGTGGGTACAAGAAGAGAAGGGGCTCTTTTGAATCTTGGAAAAAATGGTAACAGACCAATTGAGGTCGTTCCTTTAGTGGGGTGCTCGAATGGGCACAAAGCAATAGAAGCCCGACCGTTAGAAAGTGGGCTAGGTCGAATTCTAAATGGGGTGAAGGAGGGTGAGGCCATCCAAGGGTGCAAGGAGGATTCAAGTGGGTTGGGCCCATTACAAAAGGAATGGAGCATGTGACAACTTAAAAGGTCACACATATGTCTCAAAGGGGACAAAAGAAAATTCAAATGGGTTGGGCCTTTCAAGCAACTTAAATCATTGTCCTCACTCGATGTTCGTTATAGTCCAAGACCACCAAATGGGAGAGCTCACTTCTATGGGTGCCTACACTGGCTGCTAGGAAGGGCTCACATGAAAGAAGGAACCCAAGCAACAAGAAGAAACCTCCGAACAACGGGTTTGGTGATTTGGAAGGAGATTACTTGCATAATGAAGAAGAGACCAACTTAGAGGAGTTAGAAACCTCTTCGGCACCTTCTCCTTCACATTCGTAGGGTGTCCCATTAGTGGTTTCCAACTGCCCTCCTGAGAAAATTGGAGTTACACCAATAAGAGGTTTTTCTTCTAACAACAACCAAACACTTCACCCACAGCAGCTTCAACCCAACCCCATTCCCTTGGAGTTTGGTACTTGTGGGTTGAGTGTCAGCCCAGATACTCTGGTTCCTATGTCTCTTACTGGTAGGTTTTCTGTGCCTATAACAGATACTTTCCAGGTCTAACAATTATCTAAAGCTGGATAAGGGAGGATTTTGAGGGGAAGTGAAGGTGAAGGAGAAGGTGCTGAAGAGGTGCTAAAAATGGAATTTAGTGAGCAAATCATTTGAGGAGCTTGTAAGGAAGAAGGTGATGAAGGAGGGGTTTGGAAATGGGGTTGAAATTGAAAGAAGTAAAAAATGTTATAGTCCATTCCAAGAAGAAGAAAGGAGAAGAAGAGCAAATAAAGAAAAAATTGACAGAGGAAGAGAGGCTAAAATCTGGTGAGATAGGGGACTTAGAGTTTAGTACAAGGGGGGAGAGGAGGAATAGACCAAAATAAAGGGTTAGGTAATTTGGTGTTGTTTATGCCAAAAGGTCTTGGGAAGATTATATGCTGGAATGCCAGAGGACTGGGGAGTTCTAAGAAAAGGCGGGTAGTAAAAATTTGCTTAGAAAGGAAAATCCAGATATAGTGATTTTACAAGAAAGCAAAAGTGGTAGACTAGGATAGGAAATGGGTGAGAAGCATTTGGAGCTCTAAAGAGATAGGATGGTCATTTGTGCCCTCATAAGGGGCTTCTAGGGGTCTAGTAACAATATGGAAGAATGAGGTGATGGAGCCCTTTGAGGAGCTAATATGCCGGTTCTCAGTCTCTCTAAAATTTAGGAATCTAGGAGAAGATTTCATTTGTGTTCTATCTAATGTTTATGGTCCTAACAAATATCGAGAGAGGTGAAATGAGGGAAGAACTTTTGATGTTAGAAGCCTATGGGATGAACTGCGGTGTCTTTGTGGAGATTTTAATGTCATAAGATTTACAAATGAGACAAATAATCTCAATTAGATGGTGGCAACTAGTATGAGGAAGTTCAATGAGTTTATTGATGATTGTGCTCTAAAAGAGATTCCTCTCTAGTAAACTTTGTTTACTTGGTCCAATTTACAAATTCCCTCTATTTACTCCAAGTTGGATAGGTCCCTTTTCAATCATGACTGGGAGGACCATTAGGTAGGGTTGATTTGCCCAATTAGTATTAGAACTAAGGACTTTATAGGTGCCCCACACTATTTTGATTTGAAAATATGTGGCTCACACCTAGACTTTATGAACAAGGTGGAGGAATGGTCGATTGATGAAGTGGGGGATGTCTTATGGAAAGGAGTTAGGTTCCATAGGAAGATACAAAGGCTCAAGTGCAAAATAAGAGAATGGAATAATAAGCATTTTGGAAGAGTGGAGGAAAGGAAAGTAGAAGTGGTGCTCCAAACTGAGCAGTTGGACGATGAGGAAAGTGAAGGTTTGTTAAGAGAGGAGGATGGGATTTTAAGATGGCCTCTGAAGGAGTTGGAAGAAATTCTACTTAGGGTAGAGATTTGTTGGAGGCAAAAAATCGAGATATAAGCAGACTAAGGAGGGGGGTGGCAACACTAAGTTTTTCCATGCAATAGCCAATGGGATAAAAAGAAAGAACTTTGTGTTTTCAATGGGTAGATCTAAATCTCCAAGATCGAATGGCTTCACTATGGCATTCTTTTAGGATTGTTAGGAGATTATCAAAGAGGATTTATGGTCAGTCTTTGAAGAGTTGGTTCAGGAACATTTTATTAGTCCTGGGATTAACTCCACCTTTCTAGTTCTAATACTCAAGAAGGGTGAGGCAATTCAACCAAGAAATTTCAGACCCATCAGTCTAGTGACTAGTATCTATAAGGTTTTGGACAAAGTGTTGTATTTGAGGTTAAAATTGGTCCTACCCAATTTGATAAGCCAATCCCAAGGGGCGCTTATTCAAGGAAGGCATATTACCGATCAAATATTAATAGCCAACAAATGTGTGGAGGATTTTAAGAGAAGGAAGAGAATGGTTTTGTATGTAAATTGGATTTGGAGAAAGCCTATGATATGGTTTTTTTTGGCAAGCCTATGATATGGTTGAGTGATCTTGGAAATTCTGAGGAATTACGGGTTTGAAGAGAAATGGTGTGGTTGGACTAAGGGGTGTTTGAAAACTTGTCACTATTCAGTGCTACTAAAGGTTTGAGACAAGGGAACCCCCTGTCTCTTTTCTTATTTAACTTGATAGCTGAGGTGTTCAATAGGCTTATTATGAGAGCTGATAGACTAGAAGGCTTGGAGCTCAATGTGGTCACACAGTTACAATTCACAGATGATACAATAATCTTTTGTGAGAGTGGGGACTCACAGAAGGCTTGGAAATTGAGGTGGGTAATAAAACTATTTGAGCTTATTGCTAAGATGATAATCAATTTTGACAAGAGCTGCATAGTGGGGTTAAATCTGAGGGATGAGGAGCTGGTGGAAGTAGTGAAGGATTTAGGTTGTCCTACTACTAATTAACCTTTGAGGCACCTAGATATGCCCTTAGGAGCTAATCCATGGGAAGGAA